CCCCGCCGCTGCCAGTCCCGTGCCTCGGCCTGGCACGGGGGACACCTCGGCCTGGCAGCGCCCCGGGGTTGGTGACACCAGCCTGGGCGCTCTGCTGCCTGCGTGTGAATTGTTCCCACCTTGCAAGTTTGGGGAGCAGGAGCTGGCCCAGGTGGCCGCACGTGCAGCTTGCAAAATGGACCTGGTTGTGCCAGCCACGAGCAGCTCCCTACTGTGCCAGGCCCAGATATCCTGCTATTTTCCCCCAAATCTGCCTGAGCCTCCTGTCTTGCCAGGGAGCACCCTTGTCCCCTGCATGGGGGGACCTTTGCTGCGAGGGGCCATGGGAGGCAAAGCGACCCCAGCGCGGGGGCAGCACCATGGCCCCCTCCTCGCGCATCCTCGCGGGGCCGTGCCGCTAACCTTGGCTCCCCGGTGTAAGGTCACCGGAGCTGCAGCGCTCCGGGGACGGGAACGCGCTGCCCGGCCGGCACGGAGCGGAGCCCACAGCCACACACGTCATCCCAGCCCCGGCGCCGACGCTGCCCTGCGTGGGAGGCCGCTTCCCGCGGGGACCCGAACTGGGTCACTTGCTCCTGGCGCTCCAGCGAGCAGGAGTCCCCAGCTCCGTTCCCCGCTGCCACCGCACGCAGCCTGGACCCCTGTGACGCCCCCCATGCACCTCCCTGGCACCCAGCTGCCAGGGAAGCATCAGTGAGGCTGCCTGGTCCCCAGGCCGCTCCTTTGTCCCCTGCCCTGGTGCCAGGCTGGGGACCAAACCTCCACCCGCATCCAACACCCACTACCCGGCTCTGTTCCAGCCCCGTCCCTGTGCCAGGGGGCACGGAGCCGGTGTGGGGGGCAGCATGGGTCCATCCTGTTGGGGGCATTTGTGCACCCTGGGGTGCAGGGACACACAAGGACTTGGTCGTGGGGGCACAGCCCTGTCCTGGGGGGCCGGGACCACATCGAGGCAGGGCACACAGACTGATCCCAGGAAGAGGGCAACACAGAGACCCAATCCCCAGGGATCACCCCTGTCTAGGGGATGCAGGGACCAGATTCCCAGGACACTTGGAGCTGTCCAGGGGGAAGCACAGAGCCCAGGGGGGACCACAGCCCCGTGTGGGGGGACAGAAACCCGGGGGACAGCCTGGGGGATGCGAGCGCGACACGGAGGGAGGTCGGACAGCCCGGGGCTCGCAGCGCTATTGGGGGAGACAGAGACCCCCGTGCCGAGCGGCAGTCGCCCCGGCCCGGCGCGGGCC